TAACAATTAAAGGGTTAATTCTAAAACCACCATCATTGAGACATATTGCATCAATTCTTTTCTTTTTTTAAAAAAATTTTAACTATAAAATTTATTATTGCAATTATAGTAAAATTGTATTTAAATTTTAATAAAAAATCGGGAATAAAACTTTTTTTGTCTTAAATATTGTGTAAAAAATTATTAAAACCCAACAATTTTTTTTATAATGCTGATTTTTGTCTTTAACTTTTCAGTATGTTTATAATATCTAGAAAATATTATTGTATAAATAGGACAAAGAGGGAAAAACATCTATGTATATTCAAATAGTAATTATCATTCAATATTTCTTTTCTCAAAACATTTTACTTCAACAACACGTTTTAACTAGGCTCTCAGAACATTATTATTTTTTAAATCGGATTTTTTTTTCACACTTCATCTTCATCATTATTTTTTTAAAAAATATAAACATTATTTATCTATGGCCGACACCGTACTAGTACTTTTTCGACAAAAAATTGAAATTGTTTCTTTTCTTTTCATCTTTTTTTTTAGTAAGTAAATGTACTTATGGTTTTTAAGGCATTTTGATGGCGCGACAATAACGTTTCGTGAACGGAAAATACAACATCTGTCTCTCTGAGTTTATGTAGTATTAATTTATGTACGATAACGTGTTTTAAAATGTTAAATGTATGCGTGTATGAACCTTTTTCTCTCTCTTTTTTTCTTCTTATGAAAAATACGTGTTTGTGTGTTTAATTTTTTATGTACATGCTTGATGAGCTATATGAAAATATGAATTATGTAATTTTTTTATTTTTCATGCTGTTAATGTGAAGGCGTTTTCTTAAGAAGTTTCATTTGTTATAGATTTTTGTCGAAATTTGAACAAAAAATTCATTCATTTTTCATTCGTATTAAATCTAAAAAGTTAACCAAAAATAAACGTTTTCTTTACGAAATAAGGACCATTTTGGACTCACTTTAAAAATATGACAAAACTTTAAACCAAACTAAGTATTATTTCTGAAAATATTGACGCATAGAATTAAAACTCTGGTTAATGAAATTTATGGTTAGAAATTGTTAATCATTTAAATATCTTCATTCAGTTCAAGAAAATTCCAACATCATCAGCGTAATTGAAAAGTAAATATTATTATATATCTCTTCTACAAAAAATCTGGCTTTATTGAAAGTTATGTATCATAACTTAAACGTAAATAAATTAGGACGATCTAGATATGAAGAGACTTAGAGAGAAGTATCGCAAAATCACGAAACTATGGAAGATGATCTGTAATCGAAAGTCACGCTTTGAGAGAATATTTAGTAGTTAGTTAGTTTTATTGTGGTGCAATGATAATGTGTGAATACTTCCCACTTTGGAAAATGTACCAACCTAAGTCTGTTATGATCTGCGCTGGACGAAAAAATTCTGCAAATAGCACAAATCTTTTTCTAAAAAGGGTTCGACGAATCCTCTGTTATGTAGACGATGCCCAAATTGTATATTTAGACTTTGTCTATGCGACAGAGATTAGAACTAAAATATATTTATCGGTATTATAATCCGAGACTGAGTATAAAATGTGGACATAATGAGAAATGTGGGAGAGCAGGACGTTGTGAGATGGACAAAGATGGCCAAAAAGGCAAAGACCAGAAACCAAGCGTCAAGTTGGAAGTCCCGATCGGTAGCAGGAAAGCTAGACTTCCTTGTTACAAGAAGAAACGAGACAGAACAGAGAGGATTTAGTCTGTATAGCAAATATAATAAGAAGAAGAGGAAGACAAATCTAATGTTACAATTTAAGTTAGATTTATTTGTGTTAACCAGTGATGATTTTACAACATGTTGGATTTTAGTATATGATCATGAAATTGTAGAAATATATATAAATTCATTGAATGGCTCATGCCATATTTTTTAATGATTATTTTCATTGTTTCTTTCCGTTTTTGTATTTAAGTTGAAAGATAATAAAACTGTGTATTTGTTACTAGATGGATGGTTATTTATTTTTGGCTCTACCGGTTTCGAATGTTTTTTACATTCATCTTCAGGAGCATGCCACGTCAAAATTCTTTTCTTGCACAGGTCTTTTTGTGTTATTGGTTTTTCTTCCTAAAAGTTATGTATTTTAACACTTTTATCTTAAAAAACTAACGTTATTATATTTTATTCTTTTCGTTTGTCTTATGGGTTGGGTTGGGTTGGGTTTATCTTAAGAAGACAAACGAAAAGAATAAAATATAATAACGTTAATTTTTTAAGATAAAAGTGTTAAAATACAAGTGAAAGAAAAGAAATATTTTTTTTTAAAGTATACAATTTTGACGTAGCATGCTCCTGAAGATGAATGAAAAAAAACGTTCGAAACCGGTAGAGCCAAAAATAAACAACCATCCATCTAGTAAAAAATGCACATAATTTTATTATCTTTTAACCTATATATTTTAATGTTCAAACGCCTTCGAAGAATATTGAAAGAGTTATCCATGTTGCAAGATTAATAATCAAATAAAAACCATGTAAAAACTTCTAACTTGCATTTATTTATATAAAGTTCGCCAGTTTCGCCTCATCTCATACCACCAACACATCTTCTTAAAGATTTACCCAACCCAACCCACACTTTTTAACGTCGCCATTTCTATTTCATCTTTTATCTTCATTTTGTTTATCCATCAGATAGCAAAATGCTTTACTTTCATTTGATTTCCAGTCTACACCTATTATAGCTTCATAGAATTTGTCGCTGATGATGGGGTAACCCGAAACTAGTACGACTTTATATAAATAAATGCAAATTAGAAGTTTTTACACAGATTTTATTCGAAGAATATGGTTAGACACTTTCCTGAGGTTAAAAACATTACCAAAAGTGCAAAACTGGAATTATGCTCGGGATTATTAATAAGAGAAAAAATTGTAAACTATACAAACGGGATTGGCCTGCTCTGCATAGCTGGAGTACAGAAGTCTCAATATGTAAATACCAAAGAGCTTTGGACTAATTTGATCTAAATTGACTTTGTCTCGGTTAATTAATTTATTTATCAACTTGCGCTAAAGATTTATAATAGATCCATCTTTTTACGTGAACTTTTTTATATAAATTCTACCATTTTTATAAAAAAGCAGATTTAGATAAATAGAAGTAGCCTGAATCCCATAACAAAACTTAATTAAACCATTTCAATTGAAAAAGCTGATTTTCAAAGACAACTGAAGAAAAAAATTGAACTAAATTAAAAGTTATATAAGAAGATTATTTGAAAATCATGTTGTTACAAATATTAAAGATGCAAGAATTTCTTAATGTAGAACGACTTAATTCATGTATTGATAAAAGAATACACAAGAGAAAATAATCTTTTACCTTTTATCATAGAATGACAATAAAACTTCATTAAGTACTGTTTGATTGTTCCAAATAAAATATAGCAATACTCAGCACCATTTTTAACAATTAGAGATTTAAAATTTATCGTGGTAAAGCTAAAGCAAATGAAATCAAATTAACGCAGAGCTAATTTTTTTTAAAGTTTCATAACAAAAATATATGAAATGGAAGTAAAATTAAATACTAATTTTTAAAGAATGAAATTGAGTCTGAATTCAACCAAGTATTTTGTATGAGACTATTTGCATCGCTTCTTTATCGCTTGTGGTTGTAATAAAAGAGATAATAGAGAAATTGTGTTTCCATTAACATGCTAAATGAATCCTTTTGAAAGTAAGAAGAACAGCGACATAGAATCCTACTGTTAGTACCGAAAGTGAAAACATTCTCAATCAAGATGCGTTAAAACTGAAAAAATTTCATTGTTAGAACAAATATTATATTTAAATTTAAATTTCGTTGAAATATCCTTTATGTTCAAACAATCATCAAATCAGTATGAGCTCTTTACAAGTATTTACATGTTTGTCCACTGCTGGACATAAGACTTTTTTATTTGAAAATTGACATCTCTTATTAATTTTTTTGTAATAATAAACCTCTATTTTCAGACAATGAAGTTCTGTATTGAAATACATATTGATATTTAGCTCTCCCACTTCCAGAAAGGTTAGAATTCAAGACAGCCACTTGGCGATGTCAATGATCAAAAGTAATATTGAAAAATAAGACAATGAGAATGTTGGTTGAAGTTTCACTTCAACGTGGAAAAGTATGGAAATTCCACATTTCTAAAGAAACTTATTATTTTGGATTTTTTAAAATCGTTTGACACCAAAATACGCCCCTCAGATCTCAGTTCATTTTTAGCGCTGTGACAACCACTATCGCGCCATTTGTGTTCTATTAGAGAAAGCACAATGGATTTTTCAAGAGTGGTTTTTCAAAACCCTTTGATATCTAAACGGTTAATACCATAAAAAGAAAAAAATCGCACTTTGTTAGGGTTTCTACTATAAGAAGATAAGAAGACAAGAATGTGGTATATTTGGTGTGACAATAGTTATGAAGGTATTGTTACCAAAAACGTTCTTATTTCATGTTCTCAAACGAGCGGATATCAATACGCTTTTTTAAGCTTGCAAAGATATGTCAATGATTTATTGTAGGTAATAGTTGTGTTGTCTCCAAGAGCTTGTAAAGCATTTTGTGAGAGTCTGGTGTTCATACTTTTTGCTATTTTCACCACTACTGGTCAGATATTTTTAACCAGAGTTGACATAATAAACTGCAAATCAGCAGTGTTTATCAATAAGAATGAAAGTAAATATAATTTTATAAAGAAATAATAATCGAAAGTGTTTAAATGAATTGTTTTGCTGCCTACATAGTCCAACTTGTATATAAAGTATAAATATTGTATTACATGGTAAAACAAAAGTGAATGAATGATAGGTTCTGAGTTCAAATTCTAATTCTTTGCGTCAAAAATATTCAGCAAATAAATGGCTATTATCAAGTACATTTTTGTTTTCAAGTAAATTGTATTGTTGTACCAAATTTTAATAATTCTTGTTGTACTCAATATAATACAAAAATTAATAAAATAACTGAATGAAATTTATTATATCTTTTTAAAAACATTTGTTCTCATCATAATATACAAGAATTTGAATATATTGAATTAATTTTCTACCAAATAATCCTAAAGAACTTGACATGAATTAACAATCATGTTACAAGCAAGCAAAATTATAATGCTACATGATCATAATATATTATCTCAATAATCTTGGGTGTATTAAATTCAAAGATTACTTTTTAGATTTAACCTGGTCAAAAATGAACACTAAAACCTTTGTTTTTAAGTTTTTTTTGATCAAATTCATTTTCCAAAATATTCATCAAAAAAGATTTTCTTCAATAGAAAACGCCTTATTTATTAAAATGTTTTTTTTGTAATGTAATAATGTCTAGTAGTAGCAGAAATATCTAAAAAATTGCGCTGAAACTAGGTATACAGTATAAAAATGAGTAGACTACGCGCTACACCACATTAAGAGCGAAAACGTCATCATAAAACGTCCGTTTTGCATTCTTATTTTTTTCTCTAATATTTTTTTTTAATAATAGAAAGGCAGGAGTGTCCAATTTTTTTGCTGTTTATATTTTTTGCACCTCTTCTTTACTTTTTTTATATTTCTTCATTCATCAATTTCTTCTTTTCATAGTCAATCACTAGAAACACTTTTTTTCACACTGAAAAAGGTCCTTTTATCAATTAATATAGTCCAATCGTAGCACAGCAGCTTTTCCATTCTTTACTTTTTAATAATTTTAGGTATTGATTTATTTTTGGGTTGTTGTGGTTGTTCAAATATTCGGACGGTTAATAACAAAATTTATTTATTCCCTTTTAGTGATATTATCTCGCACGTCACCTTAGGATTGTTATCAATTTTACTTTTTCTTATGCGAGACGATTAAAAAAAAAATAATAACTTAAGTAAATAAGATTGCACTTCGATCGCTTTTTTAATTAAAAAAAATTAAAACGAAAATTTTATTTTATCTTCTTTTAGAGATTCTAAGTTTCAAAAATAAAAGCGTTTTTTTTAAATAAGAATTGAATGCTCGAAAAAAACTAATGAGACGTTTTTTATAATTATTTTCGTGTCGGTTCCTTTCCTATATTTATTGTTATTTTCGCATTCAAATTCGTTTTATTTTCTTTTTCTATGCAAAAATTTGTTGCACCTGCCCCCTTCAGTCTGATGATAATCTATCCAGATTTTTTTTTCACTAGAAGGCACCTCAAAAGTATATTTTTTAAAGTTCTCAGTCCTAGCCAGTCTTACCTTTTTTCTTTTTAAGTAAGCGATACGCCAGATAAAATATCATTACAAAAAGACAACAAAAAATGGTATCACCGGTATCATTATTTTTTTTGCTTTCAATTTTTTTACCTCGATTCCATTTTTTCTCTCTACTTTACACACATATAAAACTTATGTATACTTTGATTTCTTTCACTTATTCTTTTTTTAATATAATAATAATTAATAATATACTAAAAAAATGGGAGAGATGTACAGTCACTAAATATCTAAATAAAACTATATGTTCATCAGTTTATAACAGATTTTTTTTCTAGTTGCCTCCTCAATTCTACCTCTATTTTTAGTTTCTTACTTTCTTTCTTTTTCTTTCTCTACCTATATACGTAGTAGTATTTTCTTCGTCAAGTTCCACGCGACGATAATAATAATAATATGTTATTAGTACAAAATAAGAAAAAAAAACGTGTAATTTAATATTCACAGCCTTCGAGTCGATGGCCAGCCCAATCTCTTCTCGAAAAAATCGGTTATCTTTTTTATTTTCTGGCCATCCGGTTCCTCTTCTCGTCGTCGTCTTCGTTCTCGATTTGAATCTTCAAATAATCATCAGGCGTCGCGACGTCTCAATCGTCCCGCGTGGACGTCGCGGCGTCTTCGGCGTCCTACTATGTTTTCGTATCGACGTCCCAAATTTCTTCGAGGAAGGGCGGCAGCTTCTTGTTTTTCAATTTCAACGAGAAGCACATCTCGGAATTTTGATTACCCAGCGTCCGCAATTCCGTTAACACTGAAAGTAACTTTGCGAAGACTGTTCCAGGTTTTGGTTGTCTTCTTTTATCGATGTACGCTCGTAACGCTTCTAAATAAATTTCTTGAATCTTCTCCACTTTCCAACCTTCTATTAATGCAGGTCGTTCTAAAAAAAATTAATTTATAAATATAGATTTTTTTAATTATTATTTGTTATTTGAATAATTTAGCATGTTTTATATAAACAAGTTGGGGATATTATTAAGACGATATTGATGCATACAAGGCGTGACAAAAGTAGGCAAATCATAACTACCTTCATAGTAATTTATAAAAATAAATTCGGTTATTCCCCTAATTCTATAATCTTATACAGTATGTCCACGGAAAAGGTGTTGAATAGGAAAAACTTTTTTATTTTTAATTTTATCGAAAAAAGTTAATTTTGGTAAAAAATTTTGCTAGTTCTTAGAGTAAGATTGGGATAGACACATTTAACATATTTTATACGCGGTGTTCAGAAAATTGAAAAAACTTAAAATGGTACATGAGTAAAGTGCTTTTATTTCAGAAGGTAAGAAAATAAGTTACTAGGAATAGTTGCTCAAAAGTAAAAGGTAGTCTCTAATACCAATTTTCGAAAAAATCGACTTATTTTTATTTATATGTGCTCATTTTTGTACTAGTAGGCGTTGATAGTGACAAGCTTTATTGACACTTAGCTTTTATACTTTATTAACTGTAGTATTGTCAGCTTAAAATTACACTTACACTTTAAACTTTACAGTAACAAATTTACTTGGTGCAATGTTATGGGAAACGCTAAAAATGTTATCGTCGAGTTATTCAGGAATTTAATGAAAAACTCCCCAATATGTATGTTTCTGAGACTACTTGCCGTAAAATAATTTTGAAGTTTTTAAGCACTGAGTCATTATTGCGAATACCTAAAGAAAAGAAGAGATACGCTGAAAATAATGCAAGCACTTTGTTGGTATTACATTCAGTAGAAGAACACCCGAAATTATCATTAAGAAGAAGAGCTGAAAATGTCTAATTTGTTAAATAGTCGCAAATTCAGAAGATATTAAAACACAACAAGATACATCCAGTTTACAAGCCAGTTTTTAATCATGTTTTGGAAGTCGACGATGAAGCAAAAGACATATGTGGAAGAGTTTTGCACTCTTTAAGAACGTTTTGGAGTTTAACCAGAACAATTCCAGACTTTTGTTTATAGCATGGCATCATTTTAGTGCGATTTCTGATATTTTCTTGACATTTAGACTCGTCCAGAATAGTTCCCAACATTTGGTAATAGATTTATGTTTTTCCAGTATCATAACTAAAGATAAATATAATGGAAATGTTGCTTACATGCAGTCGGGATCTTCAAATATCAAGTACCACATCATTTTATGGGGAAGAGTTTTGTACTCTTCAAGAACGTTTTGAAGTCTAACCAGAGCAATTCCAGACTTTTGTTTACAGCATGGCATCAATTCAGTGCAATTTCTGATATTTTCTTGAAATTCAGTAAAGTTCCTGGTATTTGGTAATGATTTTACGTTTTTCCAGTATCATGGCAAAACTTCTTTATGCAATCTAGAATTCTCTCAGTATATTTACCGACTTTATCTTACCATTTTGAATTCGATTAACTTAATTTCTTTAATGTTTGTGATGTTTAGACTTTGACTAAACCAATTTCAAACTTTTTTTGAGTCTAACCGGAATAATTCGACACTTTTGCTTGCAATAACGCATCCATCCAATATAATTTGATACAATTTCTTGAATTATGGAAACTTGTTAGTGTGTTTGGATTTTTGTTTGTGAGTTGGCAGTGTGGAAAGAGCATTTCATAAGAAAATAATGTTTTCTGATGAATCAACTTTTTCGACCAATGGTATTGTGGCTTCGCAACATGCACGATATTGAAGTGACTCTAATCCGCATTTCCAGACCACTGGATTGAGAGACAAGGACCAGTTCAGTGGCCTCCTAGGAGTCCAGATTTAACATTAATGGATTTTTTCCTATTGGGCCGATTGAAACAAATTGTTTATCGCGCACCTCAAATAAATGCCACTGCTGATCAATTAAAGGATGCGATTAGAGATGCCGTTGCTTCAATATCTTTACGTGAGGTTAGAAAAAGTTTTGATGAATTACTTGTTCGTTTAAAGGTATGTGCCCAACAGGGTGGTAGTGTGTTTGAGTAAATAAACTTACAACTTGTGCATTGTTAATTTGGAATTAGTTAATTGATATTAAAATAAATTTAATGATTACAAATAAATAAAAGTAGGCCGATTTTTTCGAAAATTGGTATTAGAGACTACGTTTTACTTTTGAACAACTTTTCCTAGTAACTTATTCCTTTATCTTCTCAAATAAATGCACTTTACTCTTGTACCATTTAAAGTTTTTTCAATTTTCTGAACACCACGTATAAAATATGTTAAATGCTTCTATCCCAATCTTACTCTAAGAACTAGCCAAATTTTTTATCAAGATAAACTTTTTTCGATAAAATTAAAAATAAAAAGGTTTTTCCTATTCAACACCTTTTTCGTGGACATACTGTATATGTTGTGGAACTTTTACACAACGGGAAGAAACAAGAATGCCATTTGGGACCTGTTTGATAATGAGAATGAATTTCAACCACTTTTCTGGACAGAGAATACAACGATATGAAAAAGAAAATTAGCGTGCAGTTGGAAGAAGCTTAAAATTTGCACTTACAGTGTGATGGCTGGAGCAATATGCGCAATGAAGGTGTTATCAAGTTCGTTATTACAAAACCTGAGCCATTCTTTATCGAATTTTTGCAAACCAAAGCAAATAGACATACTTCGGAATACATTAGAGACGAAATGAGGAAAATATTAGAAAAATATGGACCAGCCCACAAATTTTTGTAGTGATTCGTGATAACGCGGCCGATATGACAAAAACGTTTAGGATGTTTGGCACACATACTACATCTTTTATGCAATGATATTTTAAGTTCTCCCTCAATCAAACAATGTATTATTCAAATATCCGATGTTATAAAAGGAGTGAGAAAAGTTCAAGTTTTGTCTGCTTTATTATTCGAAATAAATAGCAACAAGAATTGCAACATAAGCCTTAAATTACCTTGCAAGAAATTCAGGCTTGAAACTCTTCTTGCAAACAAAGTTGATTTACAGACATTAACTGTACATGAAAAAGTCTCTCACTCTAACTAAGAAAATAAAATCTCTTTTGTTGGACGACGAACATATTTGGCCGCAGATCATAATCTTACTTGATTTTGAATCCAATTGTGTCTTGGATTACAGTTCTTGAAAGAAATTTGCCTTTAATTCATAAGGTTGATAATGCTCTTAAAGAAATTTAGTCTGATGTCATCAATCAACTTACTGATTTTTTGAGTGATGATGAAGAACGTTCAAACTTAATTAAAAAAATTAAAGATCGAAAGAAGTTTTGTTACTCTTGGCTGCTACAATGTTAGATCCAACCTCCAAAGGATGCAATCTCTCTCACGAAGAGGAAATTGACGCTATGGAATTTATATATACTGTAGCCAAGCAAATGAAATTAGACGTTATGGCTGATTTGGCAAAGTACAATGAAGTTTTGCTGTCTAATGAAGGTTTGTGGAGTAGAGCTCTTGTATAGGAAAATACAAGCCTGGCATCGATGAGCCCATTGTCGTGGTGGAAAGATTTTGCAGCAGTACTACATTATGCAAAATTACTGTTCGTATTTTGTCAGTACCAGTCACATCAGCAGCAACTGAAAGATCGTTCACTACTTTCAGCTGGATACACAGTAAGAGACGCAATCGTCTTGAAAGTAAAAGAGCAGGAAAGCTGACACATATTGCATGCAATTGGAAATTAAACAACAATCTATCAAGCAAAAATGGCAAAATGGATTCAGAATCTCATTCTGAAGCAGAATCAGAAGATCTGTAGATTTTAAAATAGCTTTTTGTGAATATTAAAATAAAGGTCAATACCTAAATGTTATAGATGTCCACATTTTTAGTGTTTTATTTTGTTAACTTATTATTTTTGTTGTTATCTTATTTTGTTGTCAAAAATCACCAATTTAACGTTTATTAAAAGTGTGCTTAAAGTGTTCCCTGCGTTGTAAGGTTTATTTAGTATGTTAACGATGTTAATGTGTATCCACTTCACTTCACAGTGTCAACTACGGTGTTAGGTTCGGAGTTATTTCCAACGAAAGTTGTGAAAAAGGACCACGAAACGATATTCCGGGTTTATTGATCTCCTGGATGAAAGTTCAGATCTAAACGCGTCTTAAACAGTTTACCAAATGTTACTATTCTAGGTACTTTCTGGTGGTTACTGCAAAACAATCCTTGCAATGATGCAGAAGTTGATCCAGTTTCTGTAAATTGTTATATGTAGAGACTAATGCTAGGTTTCCAGTTGATGTCCGTATGTGTCTTGAGATGATTTTGGTCAAGGTTCTCCATAGTATACTATCTGTGCAGCACTTTGCCCAAAATCACCTTTATTCGACCTCTAGCATCTTGTCTATTCTGAGGATATATGTTGTGAAAATCGGTTTGCTTCCGAATTCTGTTCTTAACTCTATTTATATATCAAAACGCGATGTTCAGATAGCCAAGGATGTATAACCTCAAGTCTACAGCTTCTATAGAGCGAGTTATTACCTGAAGACTCCTTGTTTATAGTTGATGTCTGGCCTAAACCAGTGGGGATTGAGTGGTAAATTTGAAGCTCACTGGTTCTATCCATGTGCCAAGTTAAGAAAGGATGGGGATTACATGTTTTCTTCCTCTTTCTTTAAGGTTGTTTTGTCCTTTTTTTTATTTGTTTGGGTTCAACCGTTATGTAGATGAATTGGACCATGTTTATCAGAAAGGGACCAACCGACATTTTTATGCGATTCATATAATATCAAAATACAAAATGCTGTATTGGAACAGGACAGGGAGCAACTAAAATTAGAACACCATTTATACCTAGAAGAAGCTGAAATAGCAAGAACAAAAATGAAAAATGATTTTGAGATATCTAAAGGAGATGAAAAATTTCAAACTTTGACATATGATATGGAAAAAACCTTGCCTTTGTCGAATGTGCCTACAAATCTTGTTTTCTACAACCGCCAACTCTGGCTCTATAATGAGGGTATACACTCTGGCAATAAAGGGTACTGTTTTATATGGAAAGAAGAAGAGGCCAGAAGAGGAGCACAAGAGGTGGGGTTATGTCTAAAAAGATTTATAGAACTTTTTTTGGAGTGGAATACAGAAGCTCTAATAATGTGGCCAAATAGCTGTGGTGGCCAAAACAGAAACGTCAAAATTGTTAATGCTAAAGCACATATTTAGCTGCCACCCTAGATTAAAAACGATCTATTTTAAATATGTACTTAATAGCTGGCCATAGCTATCTACCAAATGATTCAGATTTTTCGGACGTAGAAAAGGCAATTAAATTAAACCAAAGAATTTATACGACGCGCAAAAACCCATTGATTATAACAGAGATGAGCAAGGACAATTTTTTCTCTGTAGAAAACTTTATTACTAAAACTAGAAATTACTAAACGAAAAATAGACATAAACAAAAATAAGGTTAGCTGGTTAAAAACCGGAGTAATAATATTAGAAAAAGATAAACCATTTTCAATTTTCTTAAAATACACTCATAATGAGAGTAGCGAATTCCATGAAGTATTACTTCAGAAAAAAACAAAAAGACAGGATCCATTTGCTTTTAACCAAAGACGACTTAAAAAATCTTTGGCCCAACGGTACAGAAATTTCAAACAAAAAGTTAAAAGACATTAAGTCTTTAATGCTCTTTATTCTATTGGGTGCTAAAAATTTCTACAAGAACCTTAAAGGCATGAATTTCGATTTTCTGCAATTTTTATACTTTGGCAGTTGGTCCCCTTCTGGTAAACATGGTCCAATTATTAATCCATTCTCAGTAAGACATCATATAAAATAATCCAAGAAGATTTCTCTTTCTGATGTATCTCCCGAGAGTCAGTTAGTCTCTCAAAGAGTCGTTATCGCCGTACGATTTATTTTATGATGACGATTAAGCCTCCAAAACTGGTAACTCCGACGTGATCAAAAAGTAGAAAAGGGCGAGTTAATAACGGACCGCAAGAATAACTTTACTACTATCCCAATTGTAGTGAGAAATCCGCAACTATTGTTGTTCACAAATATCTAAATGCAATTCACCTTAGAAGATATCATTACTCTTAATAATAACTAAGAATGGAACAATAAATAGACAGATATAAACCACTATACAAAAATCACGTAATATATACTGCGAAATCAACAAAACAATTTTAGAAGAAGAAAGTAAGAACCAATACAAAAATAAGAATCTATAAAACCAAAAAATACACCAACCTTTACCGAAATACTGTCGATGAGAGATATAACATAAATCAAAAAAGTGAGTGAAATAGAAAACTAACAGCTGAGCTGGAATAGACGCATAATTAGAATGCCAAAAGAGAGAATCTCTAGAAAAGTGATGGACTAAAGATAAAACAGACGAAGAAAAGTTTTTCTTTACAAAAAGTAAAGAACATGGCAAAAAGCAGAAACAATTTTAAAAGAATTCTAATAACATCCTGCCGCTATGATGGCACTTAGGAGGAAATGATAAAAACAGAGAAAAAATACTAAAGGTACTAAAGGTATCTCTACCACTGAATGTAACCAACATAAAAACTGTATCTATCTCATCTGTGTTAATCATATTATTAAAAGCTAACAAATTACCACTATATCCTTATCAAATAACATTTCTAAAATTTAAAAATTCCACACAACATTTCGTGCTTGCAAAAGTATGATTTTCGCCCTCGAGTTAAGCTCTATGAAAGCCGTCTCATAACTTTTCATCTCAGAGTTCAACTTCATCTGTTATCTGGAAGTTTTTAAATTCTGAAAATTTCAACTAAGATTCCATTTCTTTAAAAATAATTCTAATACATGTCAATCTCACAGGGTATTACCTCAATACCGTCAGCAAAAATCAGTACATAGAATAAATATTCACATATACTGAAAAAAAATTAATGGTCAGTTTCCCAAATCACTCAAGAAGTCGAATATCGCTTGGTGTCTAACTAGTCTGAAATATATATAGAGGCAATACAAATAATAGGAGAGATAACCTTTCTAGAATTTTATTCAATGATTACAACTCATTTTACTACAATAGTGATTAAACATGAACACGAATCCCTCCGTCATTATTTATTATATCTCAGTATCACTAGATTTTACACTAACAACTTTACATTGGAGACACGTAAAACTGATTAACAGCACTCTTAATGGCTGTACCGTGTTCTTGCAATACAACAAGATTATAAATGAATTAATTAGTCATTTTAATGTAAATCGATTAAAAAAGCTCAAAAAGAAAACGATTGTTTAGATTTTTACAACACTCAAAAATCTGGAGCTAGTGTTTACTAATAAAATGTCTTATAATCTATGCTAGAAACGTTCTTGAATAATATTGTCGCTTGTTAGAACAATCCTATTAAGCACACATAATAAAATGCACGTGTCTTTATAAGTGGACTCTATGCAAAAATTTAAAATTAGTTAATTTACATATTATCTTTGTATGACAAACTACTTTTAATCACCTGTATGGCATCACTTAACTTTATTAAGTAAGAATTACCCCAACTTTATTTAACTTAATATAAATAATTTAAATTTTTTTTCTGTTACCTGAAAAAATGACGATGGCAGTTAAAAGTGCGTACTCGGCATTGTCAACTTTCATCTGGTACATTGTCCGACAAAAGTGTAAAAGATTGTCGATATTGTCGCCGATACCCGCGTGACTATAATTTTCTTTCGTGTACGCTTTGTTGTTGACGAAGAGGATCGAATCGGAGGTGACATCGTAGTTTCTGGCCATCCGGAACATCATCACTTCGCTACTGCAGGCTTTTAACAACGCGATCTGGTCCTCGCGCAGCAGTTTGTCGAAGCCGGGAAGCCGTTTCGCGAATTCTACAATCAGCTGTACCGTGAGGATCGTGATTTCCGTTATGTGCCTGAATTGGACGTCGCACTGGTCTTCACCTTCCATCGGTGTGTTCTTATTATTTGTTACAAAATTATAATTAGCCAAGAATAAATAATAAAAATCGAAAACGAGTATTCATTAAAAAAAAAAACCGACCAAACGGTTTTGATTTAAGAGTGATTTTAACTTACAACTATCCTTTTTACATCCTCTTCTGAGGGGTGTTCGTATTCGTTCTGGAAGAAGACTAGTCGTTGGATGAGCTCTTGTTGTTCTGGTGAAATTGGTTTTATGTCGTTTAATGGTGATAGTTTTTCTGAATCCGAGAGCTAAAAAAAAAAGAAATCACATTAATTTTTTTTTAAATTTTGAATTCTTTGTATGTCTTAATTAATTAACAATAAAAAGTTGATTTCTTTATACTAGAAAGTATTTAATTCGGTAACGAATTTCTTTTTAATTAAAATGATTTAATGAATTATTCATCCGGTTAATCAATTTAATTAGGTCAAATTATTTTTATTTTTACATTTTCTTTAATTTGTAGTACCTCTGGTTCCATTTTGATCATTTCCGGTGATCCATTCGTCGTACTGTTCGGTTTGTCCTTTTCCTTTTGCGCCTTCTTCTCCTTTCGCTTGACGGCACACTGCACTTCCGGCACGACGCATTCTGGCCTCATCCCGACGCTCAAGCACTTCTTCAGTCGACACTCCTGACATTTCCTCCTCATATACATATCGATCTCGCAGTTGTTTCCATACTTGCACTGGTACACAGCATTCTTCGTTATGCTCCGTCTGAAGAAACCTGAAGAAGCAGCAATAAAAAAATAATGTCAGGAAGGAAAGGACTTTATCGCGATTTTTTTTTTATTTTTGTGACTTAAGAATTAGTTGAGATGAGATTAATATTTAATTACCCTTGCATCCTTCGCACGTTAACGCATTATAATGGTATCCTGACGCTCTATCTCCGCAAACTAAACATAACTCTTCCTGTTGTCGTGGCGTAGGTCCTTTTTTCTTTTTCGCGTCACAGCTATCCGCGCTGTATCCGTTTAAACTACTAGGGGGTGACAAGTCTTCTCGTCCTAAAATAAATCAAAAAAAGATTTTAAACATTGACCATTTTAAAAAGAATATTTGTATACGAAAGAATAAAATTTAAAAAAGAGAATGAGTTAACTACTACGAAGAGAGTCCTTCTGACCTTGACATTGAATACGCAGAGCTAATAAAAATGAGAAGAGCCTCCTCCTCCTCGTTGGCCAGCAAAGGTAGAGTAGTAACATGATTTCCGAGTCAAGGTCCCGAATTGTAAGCGGATGTGACGGGACCGTTCTAAAATAATCGAGGAGGAGGCATGCGTTGCATGTGTGGGTAGCTGATTGTGGTCGCTTGCCACCGTCGACCTACGTGTTATGTGTACCGATTAAACGAGTGCATTGTATTTTCTAACAGAAAGTTTAAATTAAGGAAAAAATAAATACAAGATAATATCGAAAGAAAAAATTTTGAAGATTCAAGTAAAAAAAGTTATTTGAAAAACTCCTTCTGCCATTAAAAACAAAAACTAACATACTTTTGAGACAAATGTTTAGAATTAACCATTGACAATAACTGTAGAAGTTTTTAGTTATATGTTATAGTTTTCAACCATTATGGAAAAACATTGTAAAAATAATGGCTAATTATATATTAGATATTTAGACATTTTTTAGATATTTGTTGCTATATTATGACCATAAGAAAAAATAAAGTCTATCACAGCGCAGGTGTTAGATACTTCTTTATTTAATTGGAACACAGGATGACTGCTAATTTTGCTTTGCGTTATTTATTTTTTGTGTATCGACAATATCCTTTTCAATTTATGCTTTATTCTGGGCGCCTTATTCAAACGATTTCTATTACCCATTTCTTTTTGAAAATAAAACCGCGTACTGAGTTTCTCAGGAAACATCGGTACAAAATCAAAGGAGAGATTATTTTCGAACTAGAATCCAGTAGGTTTTTGGATAATCAAGTGACCAAAAACAGTTCAAGGTTAACATTTTGCAAAGATCTTTCTAAGTGTTGACGAAGTGTTGTGCAGACATAAAATATAGAAAAAAGACCAAAACAATACAAAGGCCTTTCATTCAATTAGTATATCTTCACTCTTGTTGAAGATAATTAAGTATTCGCATCAACATTCTTATATCTATATCATTGTGTGGCATATTTGGTCGGATTTCGAAAACCCAGAAACGCGCCGAATTAATTTTGAAAAAACAGTGCCGCTGTTTGCTTTTGATCCAAAGCGGTCTGAGTATTCTTATTAGCCAAAATGGTTGCAACAACCAAAAATGGCAATGATATGTAAATAAATACGAGGCACAATGTGAGGTGAAATTTAATTTAATAACAAAACCATTTTTTGTAACAAGTAGGAATATATTTATTTATATGAAATGAATACCAATGTCGTTATAAGAAATAATTTGATATCAGAAATCATATTCATCATGTTTATGAACAAAATCATAATGAAATGTAAATCGCTAACAAAGAAAGTGATATTTGCCGGAAATAAGAATGTAGATTATTCTTATAGTTAATAAAAGATGAATAAGAGCAAAACTAAGGTATTGATGATTGGGGAAGACACAAAGTAAGAATTGAGGGGAGGAGATAGAGCAAGTGAGTTATTTCCAATACCTGGAAATAATGATAGATGGAAAAGGGGTAACAAGAAATGATGTCCATCACCGAATGTCAAATGAAAATCACCTACTATACCAAAATGAAAATTTATAAAGCAGTGTACCGACAAATGTATGCGAAATTTGGACCTGAACACAACCACTGCAGAATAAGATACAAGCGGCAGAAATATGCTAACTGATATAAGTAAGTGGAGGCATACATTGAGGAATGTTAATGTCAGGGATGATGTGGGAATACAATCTGTATTGGCATATATGGGAGGAAGATAGCTAGTTTTTTTAGTTACACTTACAGATGATAGGAGAGGAACTACTAGTTAAAAAACATTTTCCTTCATATTGCCTCTTGCAAAAGATGTGTTAGTCATTATAGTAACAAAGATACCGCATAAAGTAGTGGTGGAACGGATATCCGCTAATTATCAGGTATCTATATATAATTTTCAAAATTCACTATAAAATTAGTTTCTTGAAGGATTCTTGTGGAAATATCACCAATTATTAATTAAAGTATCCTCTTTTTAATGCAACAAGTCGTTTTGAAAAATCACTTCTAGTTCTTGAGAAATAAATTTTTGAAATGATCAACAATTTTTTCGAATTTTGCAATTATCGCCGGTTAAGTTTTAAAAATTCGTATAAAATCCAGTTCTTTTAATATGAGTATGAAAATTTCCCAAAGTGTTAATAAAAGTGTCCTCTTTCCAATGAACAAACCCATTTTGAAGAATAACTTTTAGTTTTTGAGAAAACAATATTTGAAGTTTTGATAAAATTTCCGATGTTGCAATTTTCATCGAAAATTTTCAAAATTCGGTATAAAATTAATTTCTTGAAGGATCCTTGTGGAAATATCACCAATTATTTATTAAAGTATCCTCTTTTTAATGCAAAAAGTCGTTTTGAAAAATCACTTTTAGTTCTTGAGAAATAAATTTTTGAAATGATCGACAATTTTTTCGAATTTTGCAATTTTCGCCGATTAAGTTTTAAAAATTCGTATAAAATCCAGTTCTTGGAATATGAGTATGAAAATTTCCCAAAGTGTTAATAAAAGTGTCCTCTTTCCAATGAACCAACACGTTTTGAAAAATAAATTTAAGTTTTTGAGAAAACCATATTTGAAGTTTTCATAAAATTTTTGATGTTGCAATTTTCAAAATTCGGTATAAAATTAATTTCTTGAAGGATCCTTGTGGAAATATCACCAATTATTAATTAAAGCATCCTCTTTATAATGCAACAAGTCGTTATGGAAAGTCGCTTTTAGTTCTTGAGATGCTCATAGAAAAATTTCTAAATTCTAAAAAAAAGTATCAATACTATATGCTATGCTAAAGAACAATTTTTACCAAATATTTCAATATATCTTTTGGTTATCTCAGAACAGATGCGAGTAGAATATACAATTCTTTCTTGGTAAAATTTAAATGTTTGGAAAAAAATATTAAAAAGGCTAACGAAAAAGAAAAGTCAACTTTAGCAAGAGGTTAAACGCTTAAGTATAGAAAATAATTTACTGAAGAAACGTCCAAAGTTGGTAGATGCCATGGCAAGAAAAGGAACTCCATCTGCAAGGATTATGGTAGGAATAGTGACAAAGTGACCTCACCCTTGAATGATTTTCTTTACAACCATCTGGATTGGCAAGTTTGTAAAATGGACATATTTTGTGAGTCTTGTAGAAGACAAAACAAGAAGTACACAGTATTTCGATTTTTCAAAATCAGAAACAGTTGGATTAGTAAAGTAACTTTCCCAATAAGGGGCCATTCATACATGGAGATTGACAAAAATATGGGAATAATAAAATATAAGTCTCGATATCAAACAAATTTCTTTCAAAATCTACAAATTTTTCGTCATATCTTAAATCATAATTAAGTTTTCATTGGTTTTTATAAAGATAGATATTATTACTATAATTTTTTCATGAATAAAATTTGTTAGGTATTAATTTTTTTATAAGAGAAAAACCGGCTAAGTCATTAAGATTTTGACTTTGTTTTCGCGTTGAATTAATATTTAAAATATCCACGTCTCGAAATGTATAATTTGTGACTTAGCAGGTTTTTTTCCCTTCTTCTCTTTTGATGCATATTAGACGCAACGACGTCTAGAGGTTCTCGAAGTAAATTGTATGATTTATAAAGTCTGGAACTAACCACGATAATTAAACCGCAGTATTCATAGAAGCTTGTAAATCAGGTTTATTGAAAGGAAAGAACTCTAGTAAGAAAATATAAGGAAATCAACTAACATACTTCATATTCTATTTACATGGTTTTTCATACACTTCTATAATTGGTATAAAATCAAATCTTTCGTTTTAATTTCAAACTAACCAGCCTATCTATCTATGTGCAAATACATCTCTATGGTTAGGTTTTATAAAAGTTTATTAAATTAATAGAGATTTAACATAACGTTAATTGAGAATTATCGAATCTCTATCTTCTAAATCTTATACTATATTATTTAATTTTGAAATATTAAGGATTTTAATTTTAGTTCCATTATATGTAATTAGCTTCAAAAGGTAATTTTTTATATCTGAACAACACTTCAGATTATGTTTATATTAGCACACTGTGACCTCAAGTATCCTCTTAAGCTTCGATCTCGAAGATCTTTAATCACACTGGGCCTTTTTCTATGTTTGGAACATGTAACCACTTCAATAATAGATCCTAATCTTTTGACGATTAATATTTATCATCTTAATCGGCGGCACCTGCAGCAACAAATTTAAGTTCAAGGATTTTCCTGTTATTGGTTTAAAGAATATCTTTATACCCTGCTGCCACAGATTTCACAGTCGGCATTAACAATGTGTTGAAAATATTAGACAGACAAGGGGCAATATCAATATCGACACAACAACAGTGGACAACATAGAAACGGTACTACTTTTTGCATACCTTGGGATGGAATTATCAGGACTGGGTGCAGAGAACGCAGAAGTCAGAAGGAAGTCAATTCCGACCAATAGAGCACATTTTGGATTGAAACAAACAATCATTAGACAGAAATTGCCATTTGAATTGTAATAAAATAATGCATAGAAATTAAGATACAACCATGAATTCTATCGTGTTTATAAGGACCCGCCATTATCGGATTTCATCGAACTCCAGCGTTTAAGATGGGCTGGTCATATGATTAGATTGGCAGAAGAGAAAATCCCTAAGCGACTAATCGGTAGAAGTATGCAAGGAGTAAGACCGAGAGAGCGATCGAGGATTAGATGGAAGGATGCAGTCGACCTGCACGTTAAAGAGATGATCAAGAGCAGAAAGTGGAAGAGAAATGCCAGAGATAACGAAAAAGAGGAGACCAAGGCTCGATTCGGCTGTAGAGCTATAGAGAAACATAGAGAGAGA